TTTTTTAGTTTGCTAAGGGTGGGATGGAAAGTTCTTGCCTTAGAAGGAAGAATTTGAGTTTAGGATTTAGTATAACTTGAATTTTTTAAACCACCTTGATAAATTGTAGAGTAGCATGGATATAGGTTTCATTGGAGCTTGATGATTTGATTTGAAGCCTGTTATCTTTTTAGATGATCCATACAAGTTCACTGGATTTGTTCGATAGGTTTGATACGTGGGTTCAAATTCACCAAACCAAGTAAAACTTCAAGTTGAATATTGATGAAGATTTTGGATCCCTGCTGCATATAAGATTTGATTTGAAATATACCATAACAACTCTGTAAGTGGCTTCAAATAATAGCTTAATAATTACGAATTTGAAAACCGACCCAAATGAAGCCTCAAATCAATTAAACAGACATGAAATCGCTTTCTTCAGTATATATGTGTTAAAGATTATTTGCTTCAATGACCACCGTTAGCTTAAATCCGCACTCCATTAATTTTCTCTCGTTGTCACCAGATTATTTGCTTCAATGACCACCGTTAGCTTAAATCCGCACTCCATTAATTTTCTCTCGTTGTCACCAGAAACAAGATCAGGATCGTGACAACTGGCGCAGTCCCACCCCTCCTCGACCTCCTCAAGCACCAAACCGACAACATGCGGGAATTATCCACCGCCGCAATCCTATCACTATCGTCTGCACCACCCAACAAGCCCACCATAACAGCTTCTGGGGCCCATGTTCAATTGGTCCAGATCCTGTGCACGGGCAGCGTTCAGGGACGGGTCGATGCAGTCACGGCCCTCTACAACCTCTCCACCTCCGAGGACGAACTCAAACCGAACCTCGATCCAAGGGCCGTGCCCCCACTAATCGACCTCTTGAAAGAATGCAAAAAATACTCCAAATTCGCCGAGAAGGCGAGTTTCCTCTTGGAGATATTCTCGGGCTCTGAAGAGGGCCGAAATGCGATTACTGAATCGGAAGGTGGGATTTTAACCTTGGTGGAGACTGTGGAAGACGGGTCCTCATTCAGCATGTTGTATGCTGTGGGGGCATTATTGTCATTGTGTAGGAGCTCACGGGACAAGTATCGGGAGCTTATTCTCAACGAGGGTGCTATCCCGGGCCTTTTGCGCTTGACAGCCGAGGGTACCCCAACCGCCCAGGACCGGGCTCGGACATTATTGGATTTGCTCAGGGATTCGCCTCCTGAGAAGAGAATGACCATGTTGGAACTCGAGAGGATTGTGTACGATTTTGCTGCGCATATTGACGGGAAGGGCAAGGGCGTGGAGACTGCTAAGAGATTGTTGCATGATATGGCTCAGAAGAGTGCGGAGGCTGGGTTGAGCCGAGTGAAGATCAAAACTTTGTCTTGAACATAAATCTGTTTGATTTAACTAAGAAATGCTTGCGAGGTGAACTTTTTACGACCTTACTCAAAGTTTTACGTTTTTAACCATATGACTGCGGTTTATGTGAATTTCTGTTGTATATTTTTCTCTTTAGTTGCATTTAAGGGACTAAGAATGAGCTGTAGCCTAATGTATGTTCTGGTAAGTGTAGATTTTAGTTGCTGAGAGTAGTATGACTATGACATTAGTGGGATCTTAATTCTTAAGAATGAAAAGAAATCCATGTTTTATGTAACAGTGTGCTGTTGAGACAAATTATTGTTAACATTCCACATGTTGAAAAAAGTTTTAAAGAGATTGCTTTGATATATGATGCCTGATTGTATGTATTTATTTTCTTCTACTTTTTTCTTTTTTTTTGGTTTGGACCAAATCTACTTTGTTTGTTGATTCACTATGCAAGTGTTCGATAATCTGATAGATATAACATCTCTTAAAAAGTACTCGGAAAAAAACATAATAAATTCGGCTGAAGTCATCATTTTGTTTATTCAAACTAGAACTTAACTGAAATTAAAAAAATAACAAGCATTCCAAATTCTATGTTGAATAGATAACAATCAAAATAAAAGCATAAGAAATTAAATATTTATTAGACACTCACTCAATGTTGGGCTTGATGGAGAACTGAGTTTTGAATTGTTGATCTTAACAATTGGTATCAGAGCCACGGTTGGTAGCCCAATTACGATGTGGATGACGTGGCATGTTCCCCGTGGAGCCGGAAGGGCCGGTAGATCCGTGTGCCTTGTGTCGAAAGTCTTCCTGGCGAATGAGTGTGGCGGTACAAGATGGTCGGATCGTATGAATTTCGTTTAAGGGGAGGCCCAATGTGGTCTTGTGTTTGAGGGGAAGTTTGTTGGGTGTGCAAACTCAATCCCACATCGGAAAATTAATGGGTTCAAGTTCAATATATAAACTTAGTGGGCTACTCTCTCTATTGCCAATTGGTTTTAGAGTGGAACCCCATTTGAACTTGTATGTTGGGTTTGATGGAGAACTGTGTTTTGAATTGTTGTCAAAACTTATTACCTCTCGTTATGAGAATAATTTACAGGTCGAGTTTGCTTGGGGGATTCAACTTTGATTTTGCATTTGAGAAGTTGTTAGACAAATACTATATATGTTACAATTTTTCTGAATGTTTTAATTCGTGTTTTTTATTGGTAATCAAATAATTTGATTTAATTAATTTACGACAACAACATAGGTATATTAATTGGATCTTAATATAAAATTACATATATATTTTGTAAAAGTGAAGTTTTTATTTTTTATTTAAAATAATTCATAACAATCATATTATTATTAATATTTAAAATAGCTTTTGTCATTTAGACTTCGTGTTTCTCATATGTATACTGTATATTTTCAGAATTCATATTACAATAGTTTTTTTAATTATTTTCCAATAAATATTATAATAAATATTTATTTATATATGTAACATGAATATTAAATTGAAAGTCATTGATTATTTTGATATTTCAAATATGATTTTTTTTTTTTCGGAACAATAAATATTTTATAAAGCGCACAAATATGCGAAATAAAAGCAACACAAGATAAAAACTAGGAGGACAGATCCAGAAATCGCCTAGAGACCATACTAGCAACGCTAGAACCAACACCACGATAACACTAAACAAAAAACAACTACAAAGCTCCAAGAATGGAGAATAACCGATCCTAAAAAGATAATACTCACTCACACTCGA